GCAAAGCTGTTTGAACTGCAAGGTCAGCAGTTCAAGTTCACCAGCTGCTCCTCGGAAACCCTATTCAGGGTTGCTATGGGTCAGAACCTACTTGACGGCACTTCACAACAACAACAACAAAGGTGTAGAAGAGTGCTGTGGGAGGGATTGTTGGTGCTCATTTGGGGGAATGCTCAAAACCATCACCCTGAATCTACCCAGGACATCTCCAAGAAAGATATTTATAGTTTTTCAAACTGTACTTACAACATCACTCATGATTTCTGAATTACTCACAAAGATCCTTAAAAAGCAAGTGTTGTTTTGATAGACTGATGTTCAGAGACATTGGGGGTGGCGTGGGGTGGAGTGGTATGCCATGGAATCGATTATGACTCATAGTGGCCCTATATAGGGGTCCCGAGACTGTCAGTCTTTATGGAGGCAGAAAGCCTGGTGGACTCGAATGCTGACCAGGGCTCCTTAAAAGACATTAGCTTACTGAAATTATACTGATGATTACCTGGCCCTGACTAGGAGCCAAGCATCCCTACCAGAAATTAGTCTATGGCACTGCCCTGCCCATTGCATGACACTCTAGCTATCAATTTCCAATGGGTTTAGGAGTAAAATGGTATTCCATAGGGTTTACAATGGCTGATTTTTTTTTTTTTTTCAAGTATATCAGTAGGTCTTTCTTCTAAGGTGCCACTGGTTGGATTTGAACCTGTAACTTTTCACCTAACAGTAGTTTAATGTTTATGTAATTGAGGGCAACTCTAAGGCACGAAAATCTCTAAGAATACTGGCTCCTAAGTTGTGAAGTATGCTAAGGGCTAGAGATACAATGGTAAGACTTGTTAATTTTTGCCTTTGAGTACCTCCATTTAAAGAGAGAAACTAATAATCAGTAAACAATTACAAAATGTGCCATCTGGAATGCAGGGACCTTAACTTTTTCATTCACAGTGATATCGACATATTTGTTGAATAAATTAATGGGTGGAGGAATGAATGCACAATATACTAATGAGACACAGAATGGAGGACTGAGAGAAGGTTTCCTGGAAGAAATACCATAGTCTTCACTATGGGTTGCACCTTGTTGTAAAGAAAACAAAAATCCTCAAAATGGAACCAATAAATAACATCAAGATAAATGGAGAAAAGATTGAGGTTGTCAAAGACTTCATTTTGCTTGAATCCACTATCACCATTCATGGAAGGAGCGGTCAAGAAATCAAATGACATATTGCATTAGACAGATACTGTGTACAAGACCTCTTTAAAGTGTTCAAGAGCGAAGATGTCTGTTTGAGGGCTAAACTGTGCCTGACCCAAGTCATGGTATTTTCAATAGTCTCATATGCATGTGAAAGTTGGACAGTAAGTAGGGAAGACTATTAAAGAATTGGTGCATTTAAGTTATGGTGTTGGAGAAGAATATTGAAAGTACTATGGACTTCCAGAAGAACAAATAAATCTGTGTTGGAAGAAGTACAGCCAGACTATTCTTTAGAAGTCAAGATGGTGAGATTTCATCTCTCATACTTCAGACATACTTATCAGAAGGGACTAGTTCCTGGAGAAAGTCACCATACTTGGTAAAGTGGAGGATCAGCAAAACAGAGGAAAATCCCCAACGAGATGAATTGACACAGTAGCAGTAGCATTGGACTCAAGCATATAAGTGGATGTTTGATGGTGAAGGAGGACCTGCTAATCTGGGAATGCTTATTTTGTTCTGTTGTGCATAAGGTCACACCCTGACAGCACCTAATAACAACAACAAGTGGATCAGAAAGAGAAGTCAGACAGAGTAGGCTAGAGCGAGTACCAGAGTGCTTCAAAAAAGTTGTGGAAGAATGGAATTGAAAGATAATGGAATGTTTCCAGGAACTTTTTGAAGCTCCCTTGAATCGGAGGGCATGGTACCTGTAGGTTTATAGTAACTCATACCTGGATTAGAGGATTGGAGAGGGTGTGGTCAGAAACAAGGCTGAATATGAAGTGTAAAGAGTCTATCCTAAAATCAGTGGAGGGTCATCTTCAATAAAAGAGCATCACTATGACATCTGTCATACAGAAAGATAAATCAGAGAGCATAACGGAAGACTGGTTGGCTGTAGAGTGGCCAATACTACAGGTTTACAGACCAAATAGAGAACTGGTGAACAATTCAAGCCAGGAATGATGAGTCTGAACTAAGGCAGTGACGCTAAAGACCAAGAGAGGGGAGATGGAACAGGAAACAAATCAGAATTTACTTTAGATAAACTTGTTGTTGTTGTTAAGTGCTGTCGAGTAGGTTCTGACCCATAGTGACCTTGAACAGGGTTTCCAAGGCTGTAAATCTTTATGGGAGCAGAAACCCTTATCTTTCTCCGACAGAGCAGCTGGTAGTTTTGAACTGCTGACCTTGCGGTTTGCAGCCTGATTCATAACCACCACATTACCAGAGCTATTGGACAAATTCTTTAAAATCAGTATGTTTAAGATGCTCAAAACAATGCAAACATAATATCTACAGATAATAATGCATTATGAAATGTAGAAGGAAGATACAAAATGGAAATGAATCTTTAAAAAAAAAATAGAGTCATTGAAATTATATACAAACAACAGATGAGATAATTTTTAAGCAGAAAACAGAGAACAAATTAGGGAAAGGGAAGAGAGTACTGAAGTATTAACCTGGTATAAACCATACAGTCAAAGAGACAGAAGTACAAAAGAGCAGTTAGAAGACAGAGACTAGATCAAGAAACCCTAAATTACATTAAATTAAAATTGCAGAAGAGTAGATTGCAGGGAAGGATTGAGAAGCGTATTTGAAAATTCCATAGCTAAACATTTTTCAGTTTGCCAAAAGATATAATATTTTGTTTTCTATTCATTCATTTATTTCTGCTCAGTGAGCATTTACTGCATGTTACACTCTGGACTTGTTGTTAAGTGCCGTCGAGTTGGTTCCAACCTATAGCGACCCTGTACAAGGTTTCCGAGGCTGTAAATCTTGACGGGAGCAGAAAGCCTCATCTTTCTCCTGCGGAGTGGCTGGTAGTATCGAACTGCTGACCTTGTGGTTCGCAGCCCAATTCATAACCACTACACTACCAGAGCTCTGGACTAGGCACAGTGAATACAACTAAACATGCTACAATGTTTGCCTTTGAAAGGCTTACAGTTTGTAGAAGAGATGGACATGTTTAATTAAAGTGCAACATAAAAAGTGTTATGATAAAATGGTATATCACAGAATTAATAAGAAGGAAGAACACTTCTGGGAGTACTAAGACTAGCTTTACAAAGAGAAATATTTAAGCTGGAGCTAAAAGTTGAGAATTCATGAACGCAGTACTCTCCAGAAAGAGGACACACATGGATAAAAGGCAAAAAAGAGCCTGACATTCTTGGTGGTTACTAAGTGGTTCCAAGAGGCTCTAGGTGGTTCTAGATTCTAAAGCACATAGAAGGCAAGTTGCAACATAGCTTAAGGGGAAAGACATATGCTGTTGAAAGATTTTAATCACCTTTTTAAATGCTAAGCATTGATTAAAAGTTTATTGATGAAGAAAAATAAGTAAATGTATAAAGTGTTCCTTAATATGATGACTCAGCATCATAAAGATAGATCTTCCCACTGAAATACACTCAACGCAATGTGAATCAATATTCTAAGGATTTTCTGATGGAACTTGAATGGTTACAATATTTATATGGAACAAAGACTAAGAATAGACAAGATGATTTTGAAAAGAACAGGAATGCTCTATACTAGAGGCCAACATTTATCTGATAAAATTTAGTAATTAAAACATTGTGGCCTTATTTCTTTCGTAAGTGTTGAGAAGAATTAAACCGGCTCACCTTTTAATGCATCAGATTGCAAAGTCATTTGAACTGCAAGGTCTGTGGGTCAAGCTCACTAGCTGCTCCTTGGAAACCCTATACAGAGTCGCTATATGTCAAAGTCGACTGAACAGCATTTAACAACAACAACAACAACACCTTTTTATGGCAAGCTATGGAGAAAACTGAGCAGATTTGAATTTTAGAAAAATCACTCTAACATTATTGAACAGGATGGCCTGGAGACGGTAGTGACAAGAACAGAGTTGGGGTGTCTTGCTGGCTACTTCAAAAGGGTGGCCCAGAGGTCTGAGGATGAAGAAGGAGGTTTTATTAAGGGAAATATTTAGGGATGGCTCAGAAGACCTTGATGTTTACCTTTGTTGGGTCAGGTAGATTGGGCAAGAGGTGAGAGAAAGAATAGAGTCAGGGATAAGTTTTTGGTTTGGTTTGGTTTGGCTAGTGATTCCATTAAAGATCAGTGACTATCAAAGAAAACAGATTGTGTTTATTTTGGGTTATGTTGATTTGAAGGAACTCTGGGATAGAACAGTAAAAACCCAGCCATTGAGTCGATGCAGACTCATCTGACCCTACAGAGCAGAGTAGAACTGCTCCATGGGGCTTCCGAGACTGTAAATCTTTATGGGAACAGACGGCCTCATCTTTCTCACTTGTGGGTGTGAGAAACCATCAGTGTTTTGACTGACAGTCCCATAATGAACCCAATGCACTACCAGGGCTCCTGACAAAGTGGTATCTGGAAGCTAGGAATGGAGCTTGGGAGAGTTAGAGGCAGAAATCTTAGGTAGTTGTTGAAGTACTAAAAATAAATATATTTATAGTGGTAGATTTTGAGTTCAGCAGGCAGAGAAGGAGGATAGAGCAGGTGGAAAGCACTCGGTGGAGGAGATTATGCCTGGGTTCTGGGCCATGAAGGATGGCGGAGAATATGCAGAGGCAGCCACGCAGTGCAGGGCCAGCTTGGGTTAGAGGAAACCTTCAGAAGCTGAGACCAGAGGTTTCTTTCTGATGCTGGAGGCAACTGGTTATGAGGCTTGGATGTGAGAAGGCCTAACAAAGGTGGTAAAAAGGGGCCGAGGGGCTAAACAGAGGGGAAATCTTTCATTTTCCCCTCCTCACATGCAAAATGAAAGCTGTATCCTCACCTTTACATTGATCACAGGTAGGATGGCATCTCACACAGGTCTGTGTGTTCTGCTCTGCATAGTAATGTTCTGGGCAGGTGCGGTGACACTCTCCTTTGGAGCGGAGCAGAAAGAAAAAGGTATCACAGGACAGACAGTCTGTAGGCTGTGGGCCCCGGCATGTCTTGCAGTTCTTGTTGCACCTCTCACAACGTCCCGTGGAATTTTCTGGGTAATACCTGAGATCAACAGGAGATGCAAACCACGCCCTTGGTTAGTGTGGTGGAAAACACGGGATTAGTCAGACAGGGTCATTGACAAGTTGGGTGACTGCAGGTTTATTACTTAACTTTATTCTATTAATACAAATACAATGTTTAATTATTCAATTAATTATTTAATTATTCAATTAAAACAAATACAATGAATCTTGGTTTTCTTTTCTGTAAATTGGGCATGACAACACCTCACCTAATAGATTTGAGGTGTAAATAGATAACACAAAAGGACCTAGTACCTATCAAACACAGGAAAACCAAATCAGTTGCTGTCTAGTTGATTTTGACACAGGTGACCCCCATGCATTGCAGAGTATAACTGTGTTCTACAGAATTTTCAAACCTGTGTGTGACCTTTTGGAAGTAGATTAACTGGCCTTTCTTTTGAAACACCTTGGAGTGAATTCAAACTGCCAACCCTTCAGTTAGTAGTTTAGTACTGAACAGCTCTATCACACATTATTGTTGTTGTTATGAGGGTCGCTATGAGTCAGATCCGACTTGACAGCACTTAGTAAAAACCAGAGCTTTGTTTTATGAACTCCTGGTTTGGTGCTGTAGGCTAAGGACTGGACTGCTAACCCCAAAGTCGGCAGTTCAAATCCACCAGCTGCTCCTCAGAAATCTGATACATGGTCTCTATGAATCAGAATCGCCTCAACAGCACTTAACAACAAGTTGTATTTTACAGAGTCCTGGTATGGTGCTGTAGGCTAAGCACTGGACCGCTAACTATAAGGTTGGTGACTGAAACCCACCAGCCACTTCTAGGAAACCCTATACAGGGTTGCTATGATTGGAACCAAATCAACAGCACCTAACAACAACAATGTGGTAGTGTTTTGGTAGGGTGTTGTGTAATAGATAAGCTCACATCTTGTTGCCTTGTGTTACTAGCTCTTTGCCCTTGATTCTCTAAGCCTCAGATTTAGGTTGAAGGTAAATGAAGATATTCCAAGTGAGGAAAATGAGATTCTTGTCAAAGATGAGTTTCCAGTGGTCCTTAGATCATCTCAGCATTTCCAGCCATCAGGACACTGAAGCTATCCTGCAAACATGAAGGTTCATCTGTGGCGCCTGTGGAGTTAATGCCTGCTCTTACTAGGCTCTTCTAGTTTATTTCAGCTCATGGTTTAGTGCTGTAGGATCAGCACTGGACTGCTCACCACAAAGTCTGGTCCAAACCCACCAGTTGTTCCTTGGTTCGGTGTGAGTTGCAACCAACTTGACACTTAACAACAACAAAAGCATGATGAAAGGAAGTGCTGGTGGCGATGTAGGATAAGCGCTAGACTGCTAACCCACAAGGTTGGCAGTTCAAACCCACCAGTCACTCCATGGGAGAAAGCAAGGCTGGCTACTCCCAGAAAGATTACAGCCTCAGAAACCCTTTAGGGTCACTATGAGTTGGAACCAACTCAACAGCATGAAACATCAACAGCATGTTGAAAACTATCCTGGTGGCTAGGTAATTTGGGAAATGGCACCATACAACTACCTGTCATTGATCCTAGTGAGCTCACACTGTTACTCAGCTGCCCAGCTTGTAGCAAATCAAACCTTGTTTGGTGAAGTTAGGTGAAGAACAGTTAGTATTCATAAGTCAATCATTAAGACTCTCCGACCAGAGGGAAGAAGAGTGACAAAAATTAAAATCACATGGAGACAATTAGTCCAATAGACTAGTGGACCACAAGAACATTAGCATCCATGAACTAGACCAACTCTTCTGAAAGGGATCACATTAGAAGGTCCTACATAGAAGGGGAGGAAAATGTGGAACAAAACTAAAAATCATAAAAAAAAGAGCAGGCTTACTGGTCAGACTGTTAGACACCCTAAGACTATGACCCTTAGCCACGTTTCAGGTCTGGAACTGAACTCAGCCTCGTGGTTAAATTTTCAGTCAGACAATAGATCTATGAGGGGAACAATAACATTAGGGAGGTAAACATATCTTAAAATAATCACTGACTTGAAATCAAAAGGGCAGCATTTATCTAAGATCAAAACGCAGAAGAATTAGGAAAGAAGGAGAAATGGAAAGGGAGGAAGTGGGACAAGTGCGGTTACATTATAGGGTTGTAATCAACAACATGAAATAAAATGTATATTAGTTATTGAATGGAAAACTGATTTGCTCTGTAAAGCTTCACCCAATTCACAATATAAATAAAGAAATACAAACTACAAACAGGCTCCTCACAGTAACCACACTGCCCTCTTAAACAAAAACAAAAACAAAAACAAAGCGCTTGGAGACCTCCAAGGAACACCAGGCCCATAGATGTTGAAAGAAGACAAAGACCTCCCCCCAGAGTTGGCAGTTAGAGAAGACCATCCCCTGGAGATGGCACCCTGAATTCAGACTTCTGTTTCCTCAGCTGTAAGGGAGTAAATTTGTTTGTTAAAAAAAGAGAGAAAGAAAAGATTCTTAACTATTTGAGACTCAAGGTGTTGAAAAGGGAATTAAAGAAAGCATCAATAAAAGACCATGTAACAGTCAAAAGATTAAGCAACCACAAAACAGAGTAATACATAAGATTGGAGTCAAAAGATCCAGCGTTCAGCTTTGGTTTCCATCATGTCTTATTAGTAGCTATGTGACTGTGGGCAAGTCACTGTGGCAATGCAGGATAATGCACTGGACCACAAGGTCAGTTCAAATTGTAAACTTGGCGGTTCAAACTCACCAGTCACATCTTAGAAACTATATATATAGTCACTATGAATCAGAGCAGACTTGACAGCACTTAACAACATGTGACTTTGGACAAGACACTTAGTACTGTATACCTCCATCACTCATGGTGGTGGTGGTATGCCGTGGAGTTGGTTCTGACGCATAGCCACCCTGCGTAGGTTTCCGAGGCTGCTAATCTTTACGGGAGCAGAAAGCCTCATCCTTCTGCTAAACAGTTGGTAGCTTTGAACTGCTTACCTTGAGGTTAGTAGCTCAACTTGTAACTACTACACTACCAGAGCTAATTCCATCACTCATAGAACTGTAGAATAAAATAATACTTCTTAAATTAAAATAA